ACTTTCAACGATATTTATTCTCAAACTAGCCTATGACACTGCTCTATAAAAATAGTAAATACTTTTTTACGCAAGAAATACCAAAAAAACTAATTTAATTGGAGTGTTCCATTGGGATTGGTGAAACATAAAGCGAAACATGAGTCGACGTCCCACTCACTCGGTTATCATGGCAAGCTTTGCCTTAAAAAAAGGTAATTAAAATGGTTTTTTGACAAAACTGTATCGTCATTAACTCTACTTGGGAAAATTACGTTACTAATATGCATAAAATGACTTTACATATGAGTAGATACGCACATCTCTATATATACAGCGTGTCGTTACCACCGCGACAATAAATGAACACGCATATATAGAGGATAACTTTTTAAAATTGTATTAAACATTTAAATTCTTTAAACATCAATATTTACAGTTATTAAATTTTCCATAACAAAGAATTTTAGAACACCCTTACCTGTAACGTAAAGTTCATGGTCACAAAGTATATGAATGGGTTGAATAAATTTAAGAGACAAAAGATACTGTTAAGGGAGGCTTGTAAAACGACGCTGTGGCGCGAGCTGTATGGATGTTACAAATTTTGTTTCTTTTTTACTCAATTAGTTTGGATTATATTTTTTTTAATTATGGATTTTTTTTAACGTTTCATATTTTTTATGATTATTGGCAAGTAGCGTTTGACGTGTGTTCATTTATTGTCGCGATGGTAACGACACGCTGTATAAATGAATCGCTGAATGTGTTGCTAAGCGCAAATCTCGATAACAGCTTTCGCTAATTCTTTTTTTACAATATTCTTTGAAGTACGGGGTTGGTTCTTACGGAGAGAAAAATTTTAAAAATTGCTAGAAAAAGTCAAAAACAACACTTCTATATTCCCATACAAAATAATATAATAACTTATACGTATAATACATTGCACCCGTGCGAAGCCGGGGCGGGTCGCTAGATTTTAATAAAATAATACACCAAATATATCCAAATGAATGAAGCACTCTTTTTGTTTTTTTCAAACTTTTTGATTTATTTATAAACTTGACAAGGAGAAATAATTTGAACAATAGCCATTTATATCAAAACCCGTACGATTGAGTATTATTAATTTAGTAGAAAGAATCCATTTATTTTTGTTTGTCTAACCGATAATAAAGTAACAAAGGCAATTTAACAAAATATTCCTTGAATTCTGAAGACACTGCCACTCTGTAGTTAGTGAACAAAGCGATGTTCATCGAAACAATATTCAGGCAATTTAACAGTGTGCGTCAAAGCACATTACGTCTCAATTTTATCAGGGTTGGCAAAAAATTTATTAGGTCCGCCAAAAACAAGAAAAAAATGTAAAATATTATGAATAGCTTGTTAACGTGATTCAGAGGGAAGGTATGAACATCAAAAATTATAGGGAGTAAAAATGGAAACTTAATACTAGAAAACTGCTCAAATTTGATTTTAATTATTAATTTTTTTTGTTAACTTGATAACTAATGAAGTATTATTATGATGAATGATAATTTATGATGAAGTATTATAAGATGAATGAAAAAAAAAAATAATATCTAGTAAAATAACAATAAAATAAAAATAAAAAACGGATGTGGAAATAATCTGGCCGGACGTCTTTCATCTGGTTTGTGTTCTCAAATTACATTGAAATTGTAAAAAGTCAACAAAAAAGACGCAAAAGACACAAAAGACACTATTAAATTTATTGAGAATCTCAACAATCATTATAAATAATTTGTATTTTTTCAAAAATATCTGCTAACTTTAAACAGTTTTGGTGAAATTAGTAATATTATTGACAATAAACTAGAACGATACTTTGAAATTAAAATTTTTATCTTTTTTATTAATAATAAACAAAGGAACACTAACCTTAAAACATGTAGAAAAACACTAACGTTCTTGAAATTTGTTGGATAAATAAACATAGACGTTCCCAAACCTTGACGCTCAGCAACCCTAGAGTGTTTGTGGACACAGCAGTAACGTGATTATAAATGGCTGATTGGTCTCAGCTCACTCGCCAGATTCGCATAAATTGTTCGGTGAATTTTAAAATTATTTATTTATATGTAATCTGATGCACTGTTAAGAATATTTCAGTGTTAAATTCTTTTGTATTTTTTTTTATAAGCGCAATTAAAATTTTTATACCTCTGTACTTAGTTGTACTCATTGGAATAAATATATTTAAATTAAATATATGTTTATGTCAAGTTTGATACTTTTGGGTCATTACTTAGTGGAATTTTTTATAATTTCTTTACACGTTAAAGTTCGGCACACTACGTTAGACAAGATAAATCACAACCCAGGTGAAAAAAACAGGGTAGACTTTTTCTTTATACGATGTCCTTACCCTGTATCCGGTAATGATTTGTTTAAAATAATTTATATTGTTTTTTGTCAAATCTCTGCACTCAATATGAATCTTAAAATGTGAATTATATAAATGGTCCAGTGGCAGATAATGATTATCGTTAAAAGAAGTAAAATAAAGTAAAAAACAACGAAACTAGATAAATGATATCTGATCGTAGCCGAAGAATGGTACCCACTCATCAGGTTCCCTGGATATATTATAATTTTTATGCAATATCGCCTCGAAGGAGCGAGAGACGAAAGGCGCGACTATAAAAAAAAACTTCTATTATTTGCCGCCCTAGGCCCGGGTTTACTCGGCCTAATAGGATGTTGGAGAACACAAGTGTTTTAAGTGGGAATTATAATACTTTGTACAAATAAATATTTAATAACAAAAATCAACTAAATCTTTTTGGCAAGGCAATTGCTTTAGAAATATTTGCAACGATGTTTGAGATTTATCTAAAGTTAAGACAGTAGAGTCATCTTCTTACTCTACCTACTCTTATAACTAACTGCTTTCCGTGATCTTGACGGCACCGAAATTTTAGGAAGCATTTAAGTAAGATAATATATGACATAATTCATTTCATAATGTGCATTATATCTATTTTTGCTCAAGAAAAAAAAAACATTAAATACTAAAGAGTGGATTATTTTAATTGCTACGAGAGAAATTTATTTTGTTTTTCTCGTAGCAATTGAATTTAAAAAAAATTTTGCGCCTTTATGAATTATTCGTATATTTTTCTAAACTTACGTGCGATATGAAAGTTTAATAATTAATTTAACATTTTTTGTTTAACAACTAATAATTTTAACCCTTATTAAAAAAAATTAAATCGAATATATTGTTTTGAATAATTTTTTTATAGTATACTTATACTGAATGAATTAATTCACACACTGTGAATGAAACTTTTTGAACATAAACAACTAATGTTTAAATTTATGAGAAAGTGTGTATGTAAATAATTTTTATATGAAAGGATTTATATTCTTTTGCAAATTTTGACATTTCGAGGTTATGCAAAGAACTTGGGTATCTTGATTAAAATATGAAGTAATAAAATGAGCGGCAGAGATGGTTTAATTAACGATGGAAGCGTGAATTACCACGAACATGGAATAAAAGTTTAGACCTTTTATAATTTTATCTCAATATTGAAATATCATCAGCATACTCTATGTGATTCTTAAAGATTTATAAAGAAGCTTAACATAATAAACTAATAATGTACAGAAGACGAATTAATTTAAAATCTGTAAACAGATCTTCACGATATGTGATGCTACCATTTAAATTATATCCATTATGGTTGCAACAAAATGGAAAAACGTATGTCTTCTTTCTTCCATCTATGTAAAGATATATTATGGTGTTGAGGTTATTCATGTTATTAATTAAGTGTCTGATTTTAGCCAGATCATGTATTACATACATTTTTGCAACTATATGTTGGGTAAACATTTCACGATTTTTTTTTCTATTTTTAAGTGATGATATCCATTGTAAGTTTTTATAAAGTAAAGAACAGAAAATGTATCATGTCATCGAATTAAGAAAATTTTAAAACATTTTAAACAAAATTGACACGCGATTTGAGTGAATAGCGTCTATCTGTTAAATTCATAATGCAAACGCTTTTGGGAAATCATTCAAACAGGTGTTTCTTATGAATGCAATTTATTAATTCAGGCTTTTGCAATTTTGATTCAATACTCACCCTATTCAAAGATGTATTCTTAAAACTTTTCGACCATTATCAGTTATTATTAAAAACGTCAGAAATCACGAGATCGATTTACACGTTATTATCAAATTAAACATTCAACTTTATCTATTTGATTAATTCCGCCATGACTTACGTGTTATTCGTTTAATTTATAATTTTAATAAATATGTTATGAGGTAGTTTTTTTGTTTGAAAATTGTAAGAAATATGAGGGCTAGGCCGATATGGGTTAAGGGGAGCAAGTGACAGCGCTGAGCGCTTTGGGCAGCCGGCTGCGGGCGACTAAAATGAAACGAAGGCGGGCGGACGGTTCTACGGTCGTACACTGTCACGTTCCACGCAGTTCTCTCTCTCAACTCCTTATGTGTCATGTCCAAGTGCGAGCGAAACGGCAACACTAGGAATGCTCCTTACAGCTAAGACCAGACACGCGACTTGTTACCCGTATTTGGATTTACTCGAGCATCGGTCTGTAGTCGCGTTAGGCACGATTTCATTCGTAAACTTCCCTATGCTAAAATGAACAGCAGTTTCAAAGCCTCACTTATGTGTAATGTGTCTAAGCTGTACAACTATACAATATTAGTAATTGTTGGCATATTTTATCCTAGCGAACCAAAAAATATGTAATATGGATAACAAGTTTTAACTGAAAAATTATTACTTATAAAAGTACAGCAAACTAAACTAAGGTACGCGTGTGTTTATTCGGTTTTATGTTTTTTCGGTTACTTCAATTTCTTCATTAAACGTTTTACGCAAACTCATAATCGCTTTGCTTCGAAACGTAAAGCATTGGTGGCAAGTTTTTGAACAATGAACTCTCAAACTCAGTCTATTTTGATTTTTCTCTTCGTATTTGATTATACAGTTTGCCATTTAAAAGATATGGGTGAGGTGACTACGAACTGGACAGCCTTGCTCGACAATCTCGAGAAACGCATAGTCGGAGGAGAGCCTACGGATTTGAAGCAGTACCCTTTCAACGTGCAATTTTTCAACTTTGGTGGATTATGTGGCGGCACTATCCTCACCAGCAAGACAGTGTTAACGGCAGCTCACTGTTTTGATCAAAATCGCAATATCGCGGATATGACTGTGGTGTCCAGTGCGTTGGAAGTATAAAAATACTGTTCTTTTATAAATGTACACTGTATCATTACCTTTTATTAGGTAATGGCCCCGCAGATAATGCTAGTTATAGTGATATATTATACACTCTCCTTTAACTTACATAGTGTTAAAGTCTGAACTCGAGTTTAGGCTTACATTTCGAACTGTCATTTATCATTTCAGACTCCCGCTTTATTTTCGATCTCCAAGCCAGTTCTCACGAAGTGTGGGAATTCAAAATTCACGAGCGATACAACGACACCATCGTCTTCTCTAACGACATCGCCATAATAATGATTCACGACCAATTCAATTTCAACGACACTACCAAAAGAGGAATCTTATGCGACAACGATCAATGGATGAATGAGAAAGAGATTTTCGAAGCGACAGGTTGGGGCGAGGTTAAGGTTATTAAGTTATTCAATATTTGTCAAATAACTTTAATAATCTGATATTTTTTTGTTTAATAGCTCATCCTTTATTTTAACAGCACAAGGGCGACACTTCCAAAAGGGGACTGATGCACACGAATTTGAGTTTCGTCTCAAAAGAGAGATGCATGACGCTTAACAAGGCGGTCGTGAGTCCAGACATGTTCTGTTTGTACGGCGACGGAATCAGAGACACGTGTCGAGGCGATTCTGGCGGAGGCGTGTTGTGGAATAAGTATAAAGCCGACACTTCGTTATTGATTACTATATCTAATTGCGTTTTTAACCATCGGATGGGTTAACACTCATTATTTTCACAGCGTTGTCGTTGGAATTGTATCACATGGCAGTGGATGCGCCCTCACGCCAGCGATGTACACCAACGTTTTCTATTTCAGAAAGTGGATCATCGCGACTGTCTCGAAGTTGAATGAAAAATTTTGCCTATTCCACAAGAATTCTCCTGACTCCGTTTAAAAATTTTAGCAAATGTTTGAACACGACGTTAAATGTACCATTTATTGATGTTACAATAAACTGCGTCCATTGTCAAATGACCACGCGTATTAATCTTCATTGTGTGTACACACGTATGATTAATCATTTCGAAACCAATCGGATTGTATTTACGAGTGTACGATTTACGTTTACTTCTAATTACAAATATGTTAATTAATTACTCGTTATCGTCAATATGTTCGGTACGGTTTTACGATATTTCTCGATCTCGATTTTGATCAAACTGAGCGTTTTATTTGTTCTCCTTTTATTCCTTTGCTTCAATATTCATGAGGTGTTAGGGAATAATGCATCGCTCGAGAGTAAGATAATAGGGGGTCAGCCAATAAGCATAGAAAGCTTTCCTTCCGCGGCGCAATTCTTCAATTTCGGATCGATGTGTTCCGGCACGGTTATAAACAGTTGGTCCGTGCTCACAGCCGCACATTGTTTTGATAACAACAAAGAAGTTTCCGACATGGTCGTCCAAGTAGGTAAGTAATAGATATTGCGTGAAGCGGGTTCGATTATTATCGTAAGGGAAAGGTAGAATTCTGAAACAATAACTGTTCTCTACTATTAGATTGTAGAGCCGTAATAGCTCAGTATTCGGGTGCTCGCTTTTAATTCTATATACTAAAGTACCTTGAGTTTAAATCCCGGTACCGATAACAATGAAATTGTTATTTGCAATTTTAAATGCTAACTTATCACGTGCTTAGTGGTGAAGGAAAACATTGTGCATATTATCTAACTAGCGGCCCGCCCCGGCTTCGCACGGGTATTTAACAAAATTTTTAAAAATAAAAATTATCATACACACACATAAAACCTTCCGAATATTTCGTCTTTGGGGAATAATTTTATGAATTTCTTCATCTTTTAATGAAATACCCTTGAAATTACGTCACGTAAAAATGACAAATAAGTTTGGTCTCCCATAGCTTCGGACACAAATCATCCCATCTTTGTTTTTTTTGTTGACCGATGTCTAATTATCCGATGTTTGATGTTCCAGTGTCTTGATTTAAAGCGTCTCTAAGATGAATGTTTCACCAGCCCTCAGTCTCTGGTGATTACGACATCATATTTAATTCAATCTTTATGATATCTTTTTGCCTTTAGCTTATATCGACAATGTATTGAATAAAAACCGGCCAAGTGCGAGTCAGACTCGCACACGAAGGGTTCCGTACCGACCTCACAGAAGACCGGCGTAAAATTGAAGTGTTATACTTCTAGGTTTCGTCTGGTGAGAGAGGTATCCGGGGCCCACTTTATTTAAAGGTGGCGACTTCTTTTTCAACCCTACAGGTGTTACAAATGTCGATGGGCGGCGGTTATTACCTAACATCAGGTGAACCGCCAGCTCGTTTGCCACTCTATCACATAAAAAATCATGTTTATTATCTTTATTCAATATAGAAGTATTACACTTACATATTGTCAAAAACACTACTACTGTCAACATTATCTATAAAAACGACAAAAAAATCATGTCTGTTTTATGGGAGCTATTTTTTGTTATAGCGGCAACAGAAATCATATCACGATTCATGAGATACAGCCTGGTGACATATGGACAGACATACGTACATACAGACGGACAGCACAATCTAAGTAATAAGGTGCCGTTTTACCCTTTGGGTACGGAACTCTAATAAGTCCCAATAATAATGCAATGGCTTAAAACAGGTAGCTCTAACCATCAACCTAAATGCATACTTGCATGCATGTCACAGTTTTGTTACGCACAGTACCTTGCTAAGGAATAGTCAAATATTAACCGTCTTCTCCTATTACGACTATTAAGGGATATTGTGGTTGACTATTCCTTAATACATGTACAGAGGAGGCCTTTGTCCAGTAGTGGGACATATATAGGTTGCTACTTTACTTTTCTTTAGATTGTTTACATTACGCGCAATAATCACGATAAAAACCAGTCGGGCAATGCAGGTAAAACATAATAAACCTTCCGTTATGTATCAGTGTCTAGTCAATGTGCTAAATTAATACTGGCTCTGTGACCGTACGATCCAACGAATGTATCAAACAAGGCGTGATTTCATCAAAGCCTTTTGCATACCGTTTTCCTTATCCTCGTAGCACTCGCGATTGATTTTGCTGGCGAAAGCGAAACAGCAATAATAATACTTTTAAAATGTCACATAAATATTGTTTAAAACTTATTTATTTCCGAATTCGTACCTAGTACTTTTTGTAGTCACTAGTAACTTTAGAACCGGCCAGTAGCGTGTTTGAATAATTAAAACCTTTTTCGTTTTGTATATTTTTCAGGCAGAAACAAATCTAAATTGCTCTTTTTGTTTCACCCAAAGGGTAAAACGGGACCCTATTACTAAGACTCCCCTGTCTGTCTATTCGTCTGTCACTAGGCTGTATCTCATGAACCGTGATAGTTGGACAGCTGAAATTTTCACAGATAATGTATTTCTGTCGCCGCTATAACTAAAAATAGAATAAAACAATATTTAAGTGCCCCACTTAAATATTTTTTTATTCCCATACAACAAACATAATTTTTTTGACGTTTAAATACATAATGACCCGTTCGTGCGCGAGTCCGACTCGCACTTGAACTTTTTTTTTAAAAGGTGTGTATTTCGTATTGTTTGAATAAATTCTCGCTGTTTGTTTCGAACGTTATCTATCAATAGGAGCCCGCTACACATATGACCATGATGCTGAAGTGCTACAGGTGTCGGAATTCGTGATTCACACAAACTACGGAAAAGCCAGGCCGTTCGCCTGCGACATTGCGATTATATTCGTAGATAACCTCATCGAATTCGGGCCTAAGGTCAAGAAGGCTCTACTAGCATACAAGAGCAACTGGATGGGTAAGGAAGAGAAGACATTTCAAGTAGCCGGTTGGGGTTGGACGAAAGTAAGTCTGCATGGTTTATCCGCTTTATCGAGCGCCAGTGTCGCCATTTTATAACCGTAAAGTGATAAATATCATGTTGTATCTCAAAAACATTAGACAAGCTTTGTATTTTTTGTAGAAAAATTTGAAACGACAATTGATTACCACCGCCCATAATTATAATCCGAAACATTCTTGGGTCGCAGTTGCGTTGCCTTATTTTAAACTATGGTTCCCAGTCACCGTAATTACCAGTCAAAATGTAAACATTCCTAGAAATATTTCTACTTATGTAAATCCCTTTATACCTCTACGAACGAGCCTGCTTATTCGTGCAATAGCAGAAACTGCATGGGCCTTCCAAAGAAAACTGTTGAATTTTTTATATGAAAAGACATGAGGATTTATATGTAACGTAGAATTATTGTTATTAAAAATACAAGGTTCTTGAAATTCTTACTTATATCAACATATAAATATAGGTTAGATGTAGCATATTTTTTTAACATCGACAGGTGCTGTTATATTAATATCTGTTTTTTTCGTTTTAATTTTTTACACAGTACGGTGGGCCAGTCTCGGATCGTGGCCTCATGATAACACATTTACAATTTGTGCCCAAAAAGAAATGCGAGAGGTTGCACCAAATGAACCTTACGGCCGATATGTTTTGTTTGTACGGTGATGGAATTCGAGACAGTTGCAAAGGCGATTCAGGAGGAGGAGTCTTGTGGGAAGAGTTAGTATTATTAATTTGTGATGGCACTAATTACTTAAAGGTATTATAGAAGTGAAGATTTTTGTGTTTGTCTTTTGAGTTTGTATGATTACTGTATACTTCTTTAGTCCGTATCTTATAACTTCATCGGACAAAGCGCGGGCGTTAATAAAATGAGTAGACTGTTGGCTACGGGCCGACGAGGTATACGGACCGTGATACGCTATTTGATGTGTTATTAGTTCACTTGGCGCGTTGAGAAACTTGTGTGTATGTTATTCACGGGTTCTATTAGTTACTCCATGCTCGTATTGTGGACGAACTATTGTGTGATGCGTCATGTGCTATTTGTTTGTGAAGTTGTTGTCTAGCCCGTTGTCCTCGACCGGGTCGATGAGGATGTTACGTGGGTTACAAAGTATGCGAATGACGCGTTCAGGGCCGGATTTAGAGATCTGGAGGCCTCGGGGCGACATAGGAGTGGAGGCCCCGGACCCCAAATTATTTTCTATTGTTTTCTGTTAATATTAAATGTAATCATGTTATGTAAAAGTTATGTAAAAGTAAAACTGGAAAAAAATATGAAAGGAAAAGTTGTTTACTGTTGTTTATTAGTCTGAAGCCCCTCGTTTGTGGAGGCCCCGGGGCTGTTGCCCCGGTTACCCTCCCCTAAATCCGGCCCTGATCGTATTGGGTTAGTTCCGTTTCATAACTGGCTGCTCTTACCACCAGAGAGTTGGGATGATTATGAGGTCCCCCGTGGGTCCTTTTGTTATATCTGCATCTCTTAAATCATCGCGTTAAGTCGGGATGCAATCCCTAAGCATTTAAGCATTGAAACCACCTCGCGCCGGTCTCAGTTTTTATATGAGTATGTTGGTTCAGTTTTTTCTTATCTAAATTTTTCTTTTCTTATCTTTTATCTTAAATAAACAGATTCGAATTGCACTTGATACGGAGATATTTTATTGGCCTACATTCTGGATTCACTTGAGGGAACCTTTTTAAAAAGTAAAAAGTTACTGTTTTATTTCAAAGAATATTGTTGGAGTAGGTTGCGTTTATGTAATTTTTAATTATAATAATTTAAATAGCCTTCTGAGTTTTTAACAATTACGGTGGATTTACAAAAGTACATACGGTCGTCGTAAATAATGAAAATTTAGACCATGGATACGTAAGAGCATTCGCTACAATCGTAAATCTAAAATGGAAAAGGTTATTACAAAAATGAAAGCACAATGTCGCCTAATTCGTCTGCATCGGCAGTTTTCTTTTTTATACGGCTTATGTGTTATATTTTGACTTGTGGAATGCTTTACAGAAAGTGATTGAATCGATTTCAATTTCTTGCAGTTATTTTAGTAACCTCCTGAGTAAGCACATAATGTGAGGTAAGAGGTGACATTCAGCTTATTTAAATGTACGAGAAAAGCGCGACAAGGAGGCATCACGACCTCAAAGAAGAGCGGCGAGGTTAAGTGCTTGCTCAGAAGGTGTTTCAATAAGAATTCTTCGCTAAGAATCATAACCTTCTACCATAAAACCAAATTGTAACAAAAAGCGTTGAACCGAAATATTTGTTATTATAATTTGCAATGCCTTTCTTTTTTATTTTTTGATTTCAATGCAATTTATAATTATAAGTGTTCAATTATATCTTGTTTGAGAATTAAATATTTTATTATTCCAGTATGATAGTGGGCATCGTTTCGCACGGTAACGGCTGTTCAAAAAAAGACAAACCCAGTATTTATACCAACGTATGGTACTTCAGGGACTGGATAGAATCACGGGTCCAACGATTCGTTAAATCTTTTTGCCGTAAAGAAAAAGACATTACTAATAGAATGTTATGAAAAAGGAATAAAAGACAAGCACGTTTGGGTATTGTTCATTTATATTTTACCAAAATCTGGTTAGTATACATTTTCTATATATTCAAATGAGGCTAAAAATTGTGGTTAAAATAAAAGTGTTGTTGTCATTTGGCAAATAAAAGTCGGTTATGTTGTAGCTAAAGAATAACTTTGATCATAAGAGAAATGTCACAACATTGAACATGCTTGATGTTCTTTAGAGAGTTCACTTCTGACAAGTATATCAGTGTCTTGAAATTATTTTTCTTACTCTAGGTAGTCATAATCTAAGAAATCTACACCAGAGACTCGATTTTCTTTGCAACGTTTCTCTAGAAAATATTTTGTGTTGAGCATAATCCATCTGAAAATGATTAAATTGTTTAATGAACGTATAAATAATCTATTATATCGTTAATCCCTGACTAGGAAGAAAGACATTTTTTACAAAAACCATCCAATGTGACAAATCATGAATTTGTTTCCCTTCATAACGCGCAAACATTTAATTTTAAATTCGGAAAAAATAACAATAAATCTTAAATGTAAAATAGGGCCCAACGAATTCTAATGCGCTTTGAAACCCAGGAACTAGAACTAGTTATTTTATCATTTTATCAGACGTTTTCTTTGCGTTTTTGCAATAGTTATAAGTTAGAGTAGTTATATGTTATTGCTAGGTAGTGGTACCGTATTGCAAGGTTTTTGACATCCTGCCACTTAGCTGACATTAATCTTCCTTCGGATTAAACATTCATCTCTTCTTTATTTTAACTGCGGCAATGTAGTTCACTGTGGCAATCAGACGTTTAGCTTAGTGGCTAAAGCGTCAGGCCGCAAATGCCGAAGACGTGGGTTCGATTCCCACAACGGCGACAATCTTTTCGCACCTTTTCCACAAGTTTTGATTCCCCATTTATCAAATTATGACAAGTAGTAGGTTTTGGGGGAACAGATGAACATACATACTTATCCACAAACATACATACCAGTCAAAATCATAACCCTTGTATTTCGCCAAAGTCGGGTAAAAATAAATAATGATTACCGGTAAAAGTACGAGACATTAGTAAAAACCGCAAAATACGGTTCGCTGTGGTTCTTAGACGTGAACGATGCAAATCCTACTAGAAAATCTTGGAATGTCGCAGGCCCGCCATTATCGTATAGACGACGTTCCTGTAAAATATAATCCTGTGAAGCTATAGATTCAATTCAAGCTTTATCCCTAGTTTGTCCCGATTACCACGATTTAATTTTACGGAGCTGGACGAGACTTAATTGGTGTATCAGAATCGTAGTAGGTGGAAAAGGTAGGTAGTAGGTGGAAAAGGTGATAGGTGTTGGTACATAGTTATACACTTGCCCAATCCCCGTCACCAATTACAAATTACTTAAAACTTTCAACTTTTCGTAGTCAAAATTTTATCTTGTTTGGAAATTGATATGTCTCCCTGTCTATTAACTTTAACAGGAGGAAAAAGAGAACTTTAACAGGGAGAAAGAGAGAAAACATTCGATACTTAAGTTTACACGTTGGATAAAAAACTTTGAAAGCTAAGACTTAATTTTCAATTTACCTGTTACGCGGCTATGCTACATCGTGACCTTAAATTAATTTAAAAATTTTACTCCAAGATAAGTTTCAGATAACTGTGCACCCATATAAACTTTAAAAATATTTTTATGTCCAAAAATATCATGACACTGTACTAAATTACAATTTTTTGGATTTTATAACTGTGTTTCCAAATAAGATTAAAAATAAAATTTCGAAAATGTAATAACAATATACCTAAGTACCAACGAATATTTATGCAATTTGAATTTTTTATTATTTAATATTTATAATAAACATTACAGCTTCGCTAAATTGCTAAGGGTTTCAGGGTAAAATAATCTAAGAATTTTTTACGGATTGGTTTTACGTCGTCGGTAGTCTTAGAATAAAATAACAGTAGAATAAAACATTTCGTTCATGTTTTATTTAAACGCAAGTGGTGTCATCTAGTAAGTATTTCTAAAAAGTACAAAATAGTTCAATAGGAATGCTTACCAAGTTATATTTTGCACAAAAGTTTGATGATGTCATATATCGCCCATAGCTTTTGATACATTCGTTTTTATCTATCAAAAACATCTCCGACCACAGCAAAACATTTCCGTATTTCGGAGACAATTTCTGCAAAAGGACAACACGATTAACAAAACGGACATCTACACTGAAACAGTGATTCTTTTGATAGCATAGACATCAAACACTGGCTCAAGTTGACAAAAAGTTGAATAGATGGCGCTATTTTAAATTAATAAAAAGTATTGACTTTCTCAAAAAACGTATACAAATACGTAATTTTCTTTGAACCGAATAAATTGAGTTGAGAATAATTATGTACTGGAGACTATTCTTTCTTAAAGCATATTCTGCATTTATAAGCTTAGAGGTCTGAAAACCGGTAAAGATAGATTAGACACTCAATGTTGTCATCCACCCCAGCACGCTCCAAATGCGTAGGTAGGTATTAACTAGTAATGGTGTTTTTTCTCTTTAAAAGTCCGGAAATCGGAAATATCAAATCTCTATAAGTATTACATGTAAAATTTATTCATTACGTACATACCAATCTCAAACGCAGGTCCGACTATCAGTCTCTACTTACGAAAAGGGTCTTAAAGCGAGGCTTGAGAATACTATTCTCATTATTTATTATACCTATTCTCTCTATTTACTAGAGATTTCAATAAGGGTGGTCAAGGTTTTCTACCCTACAAATTCCCTAGAAATAATTTATATGGCAGAACAACGTTTGCCGGGACAGCTAGTTAGATATAAATTTCTCGTGTCACGGTGTTAGTAATTGAACTCCTCCGATACGGCTCGACCGATTTTCGTGAAATTTTTTTTGCACATCTGCCAGGGTGGAGAATCGGACAACATCTATCATCTACATTTTTCATCCCCCTAAATGTTAAGGTTGGTCCACCCCAAACATTTTTTTCTACCCTACAAATAATATTTTGCGTATATAATCTAGTGTTCTTTATAATATAGATGTTTCATACTCAACATGTTTATTTGAGATGTGTTTTAACTAGCAGGTTAAAAAAAATCTTAATTGGGAGTTAAGAAATTTTGTTTTATTTGGTACTCACCATCGTACTCCAACCAGAAACAATCATGGGTGTATTGACTCGCAACGCGGTCTCTGGTTCCAGTAGAATCACTTTCTTGACACCGTTATTAAATGCCACGTGATTCTAAAAATAATTGGAAAGTTAATGCGATTTAAACATAACTTCTGAATTATGAGAAGATTGGTATCCCTACTGAAGATAGAAAAAAAAAAGAAATATTATGAAGTTAACATTACGGGGGTCGGGGAAAAAGTTTCATCGCATTCTAAATACATATTCAAGACATTTTTTTCTAAAATTAATTATGCTGTATATGTGGTATTTTGTTCGATAGCTTGTTGTCATCTTGTATTGAAATCAGGTAGTGACATAACCCCCTTGCTGCGGAAGTAGTTTTGACATTCCTCTTTGATGTTAACGAAATACTACCCAAAGAATTTCGAAGAGATCGAAGCAGGTGTAAATGTAAGAGCCCTGATCTTGCACTCTCAGATTTCGACCTGTATGAATGCATTAAAACTTCCCAATAAAAATCTCAATTTTTGCAGGGTGGCCAAAGATTTGTGTGTAGCTTTATCACGATGAAAGACTACCCTTTCCATTTATCAATTCCGGCCGTTTTTCTTAAATTCCTACTAATTCTGAGGAGCTGTTGGATTTTTTTTAATATAAATTTATAATACGTGTATAAATAAATACGTTTAACAATTATATTTAATTACATCATAAAAGCGCACATTCATATCCGTCCATATCCCTCCCCTTCCGCTTTTTCAATCTTCATTTCTTCTTGCTGGTGAATATCTGGTGAATACTCTAGTTTGTAAAAAAAACTACTAATCAAGAATTAATAGCAAAGTGTGTGTTTGAAAAGACCAGTGTCCGTTGCTCAAACTGAGACATCGAAGGACAACTCCAACTCCAGCTTCCAGGTACATACCTAACTTTTCCTACAATACCCAAACTTTTTCAAATGACTCTTTAATTAAGTTATTATTATTAATCTGTCGATCTTGGTTGTTTTTTTCAGAAATGGAATCGACTTTATCCGTAACCGGGCGACCAGAATGTTTGTTGACCCATAACGAAGTTGCATCTTTGACTGGGAACGCTTGAACTAACTTAGGGCTACTTTTACTCACACTTCATAAGGTTTTTGTGGCTTTTGGGCTCCTTTTTCGTTCGCTTCAAAAGACAGAAGGACAATTGATGGCACGAATAATTTTTGTTACTTTTCCTTCTCCGTTTTTAAATGTGATAAATTAAATGGCACTAAAAATAGCCCAATACAAAAAGTACAACCAAATAAATTTTAATACAACTTCATACGTACAAAATACGAAAAGACTTTTTAGTGACTACTATATTATGAGTATTGAATAGATTGATACTTGAGTAGAATGTGTGTTGAATACATTCGTTATAATTGTTTAACTAGGCGATTCATACATATGAAGTAATGTTGCATAAATTTTGAGAGATGTTTCATGTAACATTTATTAAGTTAGAGTGCTACGTTACGATAACTCCGGCACGATACAGCTTTCCTACAAACAACATTATTACTTAGAACGAGGAGCGTTATCTTATGTTACTGTTCAATTATGTAAACCTCGCTAAAACATCAATTAATTCATAACTTAACACGCAAAGGCAATCTCGTTTATGTGTAAATAATATGTTAAATCAAAGCTTATATAATATAGAATATTTAATGCTTATGAAAACCACGATAATAGATTAAAATTAATGACTTAGATGGATATCTAAGGGAATTATATGAATGAGTTATTCACTGATCAAAATTTGTTTATCTTTAAATTATGACAGTAAGTTTGAAGTAGATATTAGTAAGATATCAGGTAATTATTAGTGGAGTAATATACTTCGAGATACAATGTTCACATTTTTCGTGGAAACTACACAGGTGTTCTTTAAAATCTAAGGGTGAGATACAAATATGCGCAAAATAACTTCTGAGTTATGCAAACGAGGCCCTTGAGCATAATTTGAACTTTAATACTTACTTTTAAAAGAAGAAGGGCAATATCATTATCCGTGTCACTGAGATGTTTATAATATTCATGTATTTTTATAGATTCCACCTGGTATATGTATCTGTAAAAATTAAAAAAAATTGTTTCGAAAAACAAACAGGCGTTCTTTTAACCGACTGCGGTAGCAGAGGAGGGTCATGTGCTTATCGGCCTATGTATTTATTTGTTTATAGATAGATTATATAGTCTATAGACCAAACGCGTGAATTGATTTAGCTGCAATCAAATTATTTTAATTTTGCAAGTGTCACGATAGACATGACGGTAATTGAAAATCAGTACGACGACAAAGAGGTGCCGTATTGCCAAATTAAAAAAGTTCCATTCAAACGGCGTAACAGCCATTCTAAGATACTAAACCTATTACGATGTTGGTTTTAATGATGTTTAAATCTACGTTCTTGTTCTTTAAGGGAAGTAGGCAAACGTGCTAGCGGTTCACGAGATAGTACATTTTACGGTCGTAAATAGGGACAAGTTAAACCCCTTTTCTGTTACTTAATGAAATTATCAATTTTTTTGCTGACTTGACAGTGGGTGCGACCCGGTTAGTTTAGAAGTAAATGATTTCAGTTTAAACCGGTTTTCGGAAACGTATCTAAATGTAGGGTATAGCCTAACAAAAAAAATTGCTGTAGTTGTAAAAAAAACTGCTTTCGGATATCAATTACAATAGCGTTCACCTCAATTTTCAACTTTTTTCCCACTCATTGTATCCTCTGTAACGTGTTTTCGTGGTAGAAATCGCTTCTAAGCGATAAGGCCTCCGACTGTACCTTTATGTTATTTTCGTTACTCTTTTGTTATTTCTATTCATTCATACGTACTTACCCCTCGTTGGATATGACATTCGTACCCGCCTTTACGAAGACTTTATCGTCAGTGTACTTCCAGAAGCAGCTGGCTGCGGTAAGCACAGTTATGCTGCTTATGAGGCTCCCGGAGCAGAACAAACCGTCGTATATAATTAGTACGTGGTACGGCACGTCCACTATACTTGGAGCGTATATCCGTTGGATGTCACTGCCCGAGTTGTGGTTCAGTAATATCTCGTTTTGGGGAAAAAGACGATAACATATAACTGGCGTGTAGAGCAGTAAACAACGGACTCTGAAAATGATGTAGTTTGTTGATATTTCTTTATCTTTATTAAGAGTTACTTAACATCTCAAAAGAAATGTCAAAATTAAAATGTAATAATCTGCCAAATTGATCACTACAAAGGCCTGAAGAATATCGCAAGATTGAGACATTCATTATATATAAAAGCGTTTATATATAAGTTATAAATAAATACCGTTTACGGTGGTAGGGCCACGCAGCAGTCTCGTCTGTTGCACGAATGGGTAGGCTCGTCCGGGTAAGTACCACGACCTCACAGAAGACCGGCGTAAAGTGGAAGTATAATACTTTCGCGTTTCGTTTGGTGAGTGAAGTGGCCGGAGCCCAATTTTCAAAAGGTTGTCAACGCATCTGGAACCCCCGGGTGTAGCAGATGTCCATGGGCGGCGGTATTCACTTTACATCAGGCGAATCGTCTGCTCGCTTGGCAACTATTCACATAAAAAAAATATGTTTATGAGTTAATAGTCATAAATACATATTTAGTTATATGTATATTGATTTTAATTTTATTTATTATTTGAAAAAAAAAAACCGCTTATATTTAGTATATTGTGTACATAATTTGTCCCGGAGTGTGAAGCAATAGAACACTGTATTGAGGGTGATCACTGAAGAGGTTTTAGCGTGTAAAAGTACGACTTTTTGTGGTCCCCAGAGGGCGATGGGATATATTGCAAAGATTTCTCCAGATAGTAAAAATGAGGTTATGACTGTACTTACTAAATCACACCCCTTTAAAGAAATAAAAACAAATTGTTTTTTTCTGCACAAAAATTTCATTATACTTAACGAGTCAACGTATATTAGTTTGTTAGTAATTTTTATTTAAACATTTTAATTTAAGTCGAGTATGAGAAGGAGAAAATGTTTCTAAAACGCCTTTGCTGTCTGCCAAATGGTAATATTACAGAAAATTGAAAGGGTAAGATCTCGCGAGTCATGTTGCGGGATTAAATAATCGACTGGTAAGATTTTCTCAGTCGTATTTATTTTCCTTCATGGAAGGAGTGCAAACATCAATGTTAACTTTAGATAAGAAATTCTATATTACATAAATCTTATTTCAACTGTTAGCTTATTAAATTTAATATCTTTCATATACCTCATTTTACCAGGTAACAACAAAATAGTATGTATTAGCCTTTATGTATTATTATCTACATAAGTACACTTAGATCGGTCAAGATTCCTTGTTATCATCCACAGGGGAATAATGTGAGATGTTACTCTAACATGTCGAGGCTCCTGGGGGTTCACAAACTAACAACCTACCGGTTTTGTAAACTAAGAACCGTCTCCAGTGCCTCTGGGACTCTTATTAAAATAAATAGTCACACTTTCTTTTTGAAAACTTAATTATTTTATGTAACCAAGAATTTTATCGCTTGGTATTTTATTTTTTAGCTCAATACCTCTCTAATTGTTCAAAGTTTCAGTTTAGTATTTATAGTCTTGCAGTCACGGTTAGTCAGTGCTTCTGTTGATTTTAAAGATTTATTTGAAAGGTGCTAGTAATCTTGCAGCTCAGGTGATCATAGTCGCAATAAAATCGTCGCGGCACGTAAATAAGTTTTATTAGAATATACGTGTTTCATCTACCTGAGTTCTACTTAAAACTCCCGCAGCAGGATTCTTCACACGCTTTTTGTCCGGGTGGACGTTTATTAGTAGTGTAGGTAAAATAAATTATTCAAACGCTTAAAAATAAATAAAAGTGAATGAATATTAGCTCTACGCGGAATCGAAATGCTAAGACAATATGTTATAACAAAGTGTCTAATCCAATCATTTCCTTAAGAGCTAAATGTTCGATTCAGTATTGGCCCAGTGCGAAATTTAGGAGTTTTATTCTATGTCTAGTTCGTTATAGGTTTATTTCTAGTAGCGTGCGCCCATAAGTTCTCCCTTTCCTTTCCTTTCATATTTGACTATGACTGAACAAGCTATGTAAAATCTTAGTCAACTCTGTGCAGACTCCGTTCAAATTGTCGATGCATGCCATTGGATTTAACCCGCGGAATCTTTAATTGCAAGTTCGACTACCCTGGTTAAGTCAACTCAACATCGACTCTACTTTTAAAATGCAAAACAGTAATATTTTCATACTTACGCGATCATCTCGTTGAAAATATGAATTTTAATACTTAAGTTAACTCGATTTTGTGAGCGAGCTTCACGCAATAGCGAATATTTCCTAGATCGTCACTTTTTAGAGCCGAGATCGCATTGGAAGCCTTGTAATAAAGTCGCAGACGATAAACAGCGAAATGCAGTATCGAGAACATAAAATAAATGTTATATAATATCATATAAGTACATAAAATTCTGAATAGCACTTCGTGGTTCCGTAGCACCGATACGGAATTATTACCGTTTGTACGGAGAAGTCGTTTCGGGCAAGCATTAAGATATTCAACACTTTTATAGTGTTATGAAAAAGACTTTTCACTTTTATTACAGAGCGCTTAGGTCTATTTTCGAAAGGCTGTCCCTTTCGCGACGGCAATAAAGTTAGGTTCGGTTGTTACCAGTCGTATAAACGCAAGAAATTGCGTTATTTCGCGTAGGTGGCGTGTTGTTGGCTCGGTGCCGCGCCTCCCCTGCCTATATATCTACGGCTATTTGTATTCCCATCACGTCCGAGTTGAAGGAAGTCTCTGAAATGGATTTACTTTGCTGGCATTTTGCGTTTTAGGAAGGACGGCGGCGCTGTATAATAAGACTCATATTGACTTTGTTTAAACAACCGTGGGCTAAGAACGAAAGGTTTTTTTTTTGCATACGAATGACGTCGTGTAATAAAATCTTTAAATAAAACTGTGACATTTCTTAATTTCGAATTCTAATATGGTATATTTTAGAATATAAATATTTTACATATGATATGCATTCCGCGTTTTATTTAAAAATACGGAAGGTTGGAGTAAGTTGAATTAAAATTTAGTCATCTTAGTTTGCCTTAACGGGATTTCTGTTTAAATCTATGGTGAGTATACCTGTGCAAGTGTAGCTGAAAGATACATTCAATATAACCGACATTGACAGCTCGTATATGTATAACTCTTAACTCTTAACCAATGCTTTCCAAAACTTCACACTAGTTAAGTTATTCTATTTCTTTTTAACTTACTTTTGATTATTTATGCACCGTCAATATTTGTGAGGGAAGTGAGAACATCGACAACAGAGAAGTTATGGATCATGATTAACTACCGTTCCAAAGAGAAGTCTAGGGATTGAATTGTGTTTGAAAACTTAGAATGGAGAATAGTAGAGTATTGGAGAAAGCTATTTAATTTATTTAATTCTGTCCTTTACAATTTTCAAGATTGAACTCGTTAGATTTCTTTCTTTAATTCAGAATAAATGATGATGCAGCATCTTTAACCGTAATTGCCTAGTGAGAATGTAAAAGACCCAAAACTCGATTTTCCCGACGCGTGAGGCATGTTTTACTTTCGCAAAATTGCTCTTTTGAGATTCCCAACACGAAGGACGGGCGTGTTGACTTTAGCTATTAAGAAATATAATATCGCTACTTTTTTCAATACAGACGTGGTTTGCCATTTATTTTCTACATGCAATATGCACATATTTGTCATATTATTGTCTTTCATTTAATTCATGTGACGACTTTATTGCTGAATCGTTGACTACGATACATGATCACCAATACGAATCTCTGTATCATGCACTACAAAATAATTCGGTGTTTTTCGGTTTCTTGCGTGACCGGTTACAGTTACTGGCTCAATTTTTCTCTTTGGTTTCCTATCCCTGTCTGCTGTTTGTGAGTTGAGTTTATGGTTACTTATTGATTTTAAAATATGTAGAAAAAAAGGAACGAAAAGTTTCTCGCCGCTATGAGAATCGTACTGGAATCGTGAACTTACGTCTTCGGGATTCGCGCCCTGATGCTCTAGCCACTAAGCTAAACGGCTAATTGTTCAGCCAACGAAATTATCGTTGTGAAACAAAATTCGAAATTGTGAAACAGCGTGATATTCAAGGCATTTCCTACCTCGCACGACCACTTCTAACTAGCGTTCTTTCCGAACCGTTTCTACTGAGGAAACTTCAAGAAGAGAGCATATTCTTATCTGAAAGGCCGGAAACGCATTTGGAAGTCCTCCGGTTTTGCAGATTTTCACTTTCCTTCAGATGAGTCTTCTGCTCATTAAAAAAAAAGAATAAAATAGATAAAATAGAAATAGATTTTGCTTTGTTTCGTTACATACACGAAAGGGGATGCTCAAGCAGTCATAGCAACTTCGGCTAAAAGTGCACACATAGAAAATATTTATTTTATTTATTTATTTGCGCGAGCCGATCGCTCGATCTGAGCCGGTTTTTTTTTGTTAAAATTATTTAATACCGTTGTAATTATTATTAACAATTTATCTAACGGCTATCTTTAGACCTATCAATTATTAATATCCAACTATTGCAATGTGTAATAGCATTTTTGGTACTACACCCAATTAATAGGTATATTATGGCTGTGTGGAAACACGCCGAATCATAATTATACAAAAAGATTTTTACGTTATTCTGTTATTTAAAAACTTATATGAAGACAAAAATAATAACAAATTATATGATAAATAGACTGATTGTTATTAACCGGTTTAAAAATCGATTGAACCAAGTAATTCACTTCGTGATAAGTAATTGGCACCACTGTTGCGTAAATATTCAAATATTATTGTAAAATATTGATGCGATACTTATTTTTTGTGTAAAAGTGTAGCAATCTTTTTGGATAAATTAATATTAAAACATGTAGAAAAAGTACGAATAGATTGTCGCCGCTGTGGGAATCGAACCCACGTCTTCGGCATTCGCGGCCTGACGCTCTAGCCACTGAGCTAAACGGCTGATTGCCACAGCGACGTAAATCTTAACGCCTTCTTTCTACATTGTTATTTAGCATTTGAAGCAATGTTTGGCGCATCTATTGTTATATCCTTTCCAGCATACAAACAATTTCTAATATCGTTTTACAACGCTAATTCGAACTAGAGATGTCGCCATTGCTTTTTTATAAATTTTTAAAGATTTTTATAGTGCTAATCTCTGCACTTAAGATTGAACATTAAAACATGTAGAAAAAGTACGAAAAGATTGTCGCCGCTGTGGGAATCGAACCCACGTCTTCGGCATTCGCGGCCTGGCGCTCTAGCTACTGAGCTAAACAGCTGATTGCCACAGCGACAAAAATTTTAACGCTTTCTTTCTACATTGTTATTTAGCATTTGAAGCAATGTTTGGCGCATCTATTGTTATATCCTTTCCAGCATACAAACAATTTCGAAAATCGTTTTACAACGATAATTCGAACGAGAGATGTCGCCATTGCTTTTTTATAAATTTTTAAAGTTTTTTATAGTGCTAATCTCTGCACTTAAGATTGAACATTAAAACATGTAGAAAAAGTAAGTACGGGCCTGCCCATTCGTGCAACAGCCGAAGCTTCTGCGTGGCCCTACCACCGTAATGTGCTATCCTTTTATGTGCGCCGTGATAAAAAAAATCTAAAAATCTTTATTTATTCTTTAAGTTTAAGACGTAATATTTCAGTAGTAATAAAGTCGGTGAAATATAGTACTATCTAGTTATTGAACAGATTGAATAAACAGAATATTTTTGTATTTGAAAACTTTTGCAGCTGTCAGTGGAGTGTATATTTGAACAGGGGGCAGATGAGCGCCATTCATTTATTCATAAAATTAGAATTCTGTTCGAATAAGGTTCTGTGCAACTCAATAATTCGGAATCTAATCGGCTTCTACTGTGTCAAAGACGGACTCGCTAAGCTGTTTAAAGATGAAATCGTCAAAGAGAATTTTGCGTATGGATCCGTCGATGGTAATTCCCACGGTCACAGTATTTACATAGAAAGTATTTAGAAATTAACCACAGTGACGTTTCGTCTCTAAAAGCTTTCAAGGTAATTTAATAGTTAATACGCCAATGGCCGCCAATCGGCAGTTAGATAAAGTTTTTGTTAAATAAATTACCCAGCACTCGTCAGCCGCCTCCTCACGACCTTAAACAATCTCATTCAATTATCCTCATCAATCGGAAAATTGAAGCCGCTCTGTTGACGCGGGCGAAGTAAGTCGATCTCTCCATTTGTATTTATTAAACGTTTGTTTAACTACAAAAACGTTTATATTTTAATAATAATTGATCTCGGCGGCTAATCTGATTGTTTAAAATAAGAAGCTGATTGGGATTTACTCTGCTTGTTTTTTTATAAACAACTCTCGCACTGAGGAAAGTATCTCAATGTCGCACAAAAAGTACTTGTGTGTATTCTAACAATTTGAGGGTATTAAATCCTCACAAGGCATGCATCTAATATCAGATGCGTGATGCGTAGTAGTAGTACCGGAATGAGTAGTAATAGTTCAATCGTTTTTGTTTTATACAATTTTTGTTTTAAATAAGTTCTTCTGCTTCTGAATTTTAACGACGCACCTCTGATTTTCTACTTTGGGGCAATTTGTACAGTGTTATGAAAACGTCGATAAAACACTTACGTTGCGAAATTCGTGCTTCATTTATTTTTGGGTCTTTGTTTTAACGAGTTACGAAAATTGTTTCAGTTACGAATTTCAAATATTTTGCTAAAGGAAACTCCCCAATGTGTTTTTTTTTTAATTTATTCTAAAGCTTTTTGGTACAAAAGGCCTGGAATTTTTATTTGGACAGAATATATCAACAATTTGGAAAGAATAAAGGAGGAATTGAGAAATTTTGTATTACTAGTAACATAATTTTTATGAAAAAGCATTCCATGGGATTATTTCTAATAATAATTCTTAGCATAGTAATTGCTTTTATTTACGCAAATATATAAAAATATTACATATTTACGGAATTAAAGGCATTTGGTTTAAATTTAAACCCTCGAATTTTAGTATTTTAATGCACGTTGGAAATTAAAAATATAATTTAACCGATAAGGTCTGTAACACTGTTGATTATAAATAATGAAGTATCATACCAGCGACGTCACCAATTTATTCTAAATAATCTCTCCAATCATTTAATTAATGAAATGATTATTATTAAATAAACGCGGCTCGTTTTAAAAATAGAATCTTTTACCCTTAACCCTGGCTTTGTTAACGTGCTCGTGCCAATATGAACCAGGTTTGCTCAAACTGCGGCCTGCCGACGACATGCAGTCTCTCAGTTACCACAAATTTGTACGATATTGCGCGTTTATTATTATTCTTTAATTACAAATAAGTCTTATAACATAATAATGAAAGTAAAAATGTGAATTTGTGAGCCTGCGTTTTCTGTCCCAGACGCTTCATTAACTAAGCTAAGTAGCCGATGACATCACGATGCTAAATCTCGATATATATTTTTTAGCTTCATTGGATTTTCTTGGAAAAAATTGGTACCATCTAGAGTGCATGGTTTACAGTATGAAACACCCTTCGCTCTTAAATTTTTTATGATACATATTTATCTTTACCGCCTATCCCGGCACTCTAGATGAAACTTAAATTCTGAAGTTTTGTAGATAACTGCACAAAAACTTTCGGTGCTATTATATATACTAAACTATTTGCGGATTCGAGATTGCGGGAATTTATATCTACACATATTTTATATCATTTTACACCTCACATTATTTACAATGCGGGTTGCAATGGGGCTAAAAAGTTGAACAACCCTGCTTTAAAGTGTGAATACGCGATGTGCGTGTGCGTGTCGTTAATGTTCAGTACAGCGGAAAGTACTCTCTTGTCAGTGGGGTTCTTTCAACGTGAGCATGAAATATGCGGCACTTCAATCCACCATTGTTTCGCACTTGATGTATGTTCATTTCGCGTGAAATGATCTGAGTTCTCCCATTTTTTCAATATTATATTTTTATCGGAATGATCATCGGTTAAAGGCTAAACGGAAAACCTTTCTGTGCATAAATAATAATATTTTAATCAAAGCTCATCGGAGCTTATAATGTATTGTTACAGGCAAATCCGAGGATTTGTGTAAAGCGACCCTGACCCTACGAGTCAGCGAAGGGGAAACTTCAGCGTGAATAAAAAAGGAGCCCTGTCCTTTTTCCCTCGGTGTTATTGTCAAATATTTTGTTTACATAATGGACGAAGGTCCGAATAGCGAGGCCGAGGCTATGGCGCGGCACGCAAGGCGGCTCGTAGCTTGCGGCAGTCACGCGACGGCAGCCGCACGCTACGGCCACTTTCTACGCCGTAGCAGTTATTAACTGCACATTACATTACGTCGGCGGGATGCGTTTCCTAGTATTATTGGCATTTCTCGCCACGGCCCATGCACGTGCGGTAAGATTTTTTTATTTATGATTATAAATAAAAACGATAGGTAGTTTAAATTTTATTTTGAATTATTTTTAAGCTTGTTCTATTAAGATTTTACTTATTCAATAAGTTTAAACGAAAAATATTTATATAAACACCGGATTTCTTTTTACCAAATAGCTTTTTATAAAAATTCTCTATGTATAAACAATGTCTAAGACTTTTATACTACTAGTATAGCACATGCATGGAAATATTTACGCTAGTTGAAAGAAAAAGTGTAACGGTAAAATTTTTATGTCAAAATTTCAATGTTAGACGGGATATAATGTTTAGGAAATAAATCACTTATTATCGTAGAATATATATATGAATACATATTTGTAAACAATTCAGATTACTTAGTAGTCCTTTATTAAAATGTTAAAAAAATCCTCGAATAAAACATAGAAATATTTTAGAATAAATTAATTTAAATATTTTATGTTGTTTAATAAAAAAGTAAAATTATTTAAAAAAATATGTAAACTTTAATGGTCTTTAAAAATATTGTAAAGCAAATATTTTATACAATTGTAGTAATATTTTAAATATGTATATCGTAATTGGAGTATTATATTGATAGAGGCTAATTTAGTATCTAGTAAGGTATTTGTGCCATTTAATCTTTTGTGAAAATAACAACATTAAATGTTACAAATTAGAAAATAAAGTTAATGTTACAATAGAATATTTAGTAAAATTTAATTATCCTGTACAGTAACAAATAAAATTTTATTTATATTACGATAATTCTATGAATTACTATTCGTAACTACCCAAGCTTTGTTTGTGCAATATTAGCAGGGCTTAATTTTTTTAACCCTTCAATATTATTCAATACTGTATATTTAAGAAGATCACTAAAAATTAAGTAATAGTTGGTCTCGATTTTCTAGATATAAATAATATGCATCCAAGGTTCAAGGCGGGTCTCGATAATCCCTAGTTCTGAATATTTTACAGCTTAAAATGTAGTGTGACATAATGGAAACTTACGTTGGATTTATTTAAAAATAAAATGTCCACGTTTTAATATGATGCAAATGCCGTTTTTTTCAATTTATGTATTTAATTCCTCCACTTTAATTTAAATTCAACAATTTCTTGCTATTTTGACGGTCATCAATCAGATAATACAAATTATAATTATATTTATATTAACGTGGTCGTCTAACACATTTTTAGAACGACACATCAATGAAGTCGACAGTAAGTAGATAAAAAACAAAATTGACAAATGAATTAAGCAAGTAACACGGTAATTATATTATTTCATATAATAATCTAGGTAACGTTACTTGAGGAAGACAATTTTTCATAAGATAATTTCTTCATTTAAATTTTTATGAGAATAAAATCGGAGGATTGTTTCGAGGAGGACAGGTTATATTTAATATTGTCTATCTTTTTATTAGGTAAGTTATTCTAAATATTGATTTTTAATAAAACATTGTTTGTTTTGTAATTGTAACTGTTAATTTATTTTTCTTGGTAAAAATATTTGAATACAGTTTAATAAAATTTCTAATTGATTAATTTATTGTAGCCTCAGAATAAAAGCACCAAAATTGATTTTATCGTATAATACGATAATTTAAAAGTGCCAAATGACATCAATAGGAATGTCCATCATTAATATTATGACAGTAAAGTGAAGTTTGCTCCGAGTGGAATGGTTCGTTAGGCTACGCTGGTGGGCAAATTTCCAGTCTAACTCTGTACCCCTTTATATTAAAGTTTTCTCAAACTTATGCACGTAATTTTAGATGCAAATTCCCGGGTTGACTTTTAGCACAATTGCTATGGTACTGCTTGGTGCTAGTTTGCTGGACATCTGTCGAATGTGAACAATATTAATTAAGTGGTGGAGGGTGGCAAGTGACCCGGTGTCACTTGATGTTAAAGAATATCAACAATTTGCTACAAATATCCATGGCCGGGTATTTTGGAAACATACATGGCATTCCATGAGGCAGTAGATGTATTGCCACCTTCTAAATAAGTAGGCCCCGATTACTGCACTCATCAGACAAAAGCGAAAGTATAATACTGCCATTGAACACCAAAAACACAGAGAAGTAATATAAAAAAAAAGATATTACTCGTTTATAATCAACTATAAAAAACTATATCTATTTATGTATGTTTATGTATGTTTATTATAATTTCTTTTTATTTTATTATATTTAAGTTTATTTTGGTATTAAGCAAGTTTATTGAGCACACCACCTCCCACTATTCATTAGTTTATTTTTCCTCGTCCTAAGGTTGTCTGGAAGAGATCGCTCTTTAGCGATAAGACCGCCTTATTGTACCTACCTTTTAAGACTTATTTTATACTAATTGTATCAAATTCTTTGTGGTGTACAATAAAGTATATATATATATATATATATATATATATATATATATATATATATATATAAAAAGTTAGTTTTTTAGATTTTAGGCGTGATAGCTCATTTCCGGGCGCTCGCCTTTAATTTCATATACACGAGCAACTTGAGTTCGATCCCCGGTGGCGGCAACAATGAAATTGTACATTTTAAGTGCTGACTTATCACGCGCTCGGGGGTGAAGGAAATCATCGTGAGAAAACTTGCATATTTTCGAAATAATTACAAAAAAAAATCGAAGATATGTGAAGTCCGTCAATACGCAGTTGGGCTGCTTACAGAGGAGGCCTTTACCCAGCAGTGGGATATACGTAAAGTAAGAGCCTATATATATATAGGCTCTTACTTTACGTTACTTTTCTAAAAGAAGGTTTTTGAATTAATTTAAACATATAGACATGTTGATATTAATACAATGTTTTTGTATTATAGGTGAACATCAGCAATACGTGGGTACTTCCCGAGGAAGGTTTCCCGGTATTTTACCGCTATTTCAGAGACCGTATCTCTTGGTATGAAGCTGATGCCGTTTGTCAATTTCATCATGCGAATTTGGTCACGGGTAAATATTATATTACTCTTAACAAAGAACAATTTACCTTTTTTAATGGCATACTTTACTAAAGATATATCATTAACGTTTGTAAGATAATTATTATAGACATATATATTTGATATATCCAAAAGACTGCTAACTTGTTTCATAACTAACTTCATAGCTAACTACTTAGGAAAGTTTTGCCTCAATCTGTTATAGTGTCAGAAGTTTGAAATACATCCAAAGTTATTGACATATAAGTCGCATTTATTTATTTTACTTTGAATCAAGAATTTCCTAATTTAAACAAGAACATTATAATATTCGCTTGGTTATTCCAGTGTAGACATAGATGGTAGACAGTTTCACAAATATTGTGAATATATATTATATGATACTATCATAAATGCCTCTTTCGTGTCTATTATATCGATACCATCTTACATACGACTACTAAAGCAAAATTACTACTAGTAAAATTAAAATTAAAGAGACAGTAAATATACACATTAATATGGATTTATATGTATTTGGAAACGAAAAAGCTAACTTAGTGCAAGTCGGACTCGCACACGAAGGGATCCGTACCATTATCTATAAAAACGGCAAAAAATATTGTCTGTTGTATGGGAGCTTTTATTCTACTTTTTAGATATAGTGTCAACAGAAATATATCATCTGTAAAAATATTAACTGTCTAACTATCACGGTTCATGAGATACAGCCCGGTTACAGACGGACAGACAGACAGACAGCGGAGTCTTAGTGATAGGGTTTTGTTTTACTCTTTAGGTACGGAACCATAAAAAGGACCACTATAGTAGTGTATTTTAGGTCTTTAAACAATATAACTTTAGTTTTAAACTTAATACAAAATATTACGTTTTAAAGTGAAAAAAACATGAAATAATATTAAAAGAAATAAACCTAAAATATATATTCGGCACTATAATTTTTACTGCTCGTTTACGCCTACTTTTGGAAACTTTGGAAGTAGTTAAGCAACCCCTGTCACATACATAGGCAACATCTTGATTCTCATAACTTGAAAACTTTTCTTTTATTGTTGATATCAAAAACCTTTTCCGTACAAATACCTCTTAATATCACTTTGAGATTATTGTGTTCGTGCGTGCGTCGGTTTTCTTTGAAAGGCGGGGAAAGATATTGATTTTTGCTTATTTGAATGATAATGCCTGTATGTTTTCCGATTTCCTTTTGCGGACTTGTCATAAAATTCATTATCTAATATTTGAGACATATTACATTCACTAAAAATCGAATATATAACAGACAGCATCAGCAATGAGCTTAAGGTTTCATTAAAGTACTTTTAGGAATTAAAATCGTTAATTTAAAATCCATGATAGGCGGTCCGTTTCGGCGCCAACTTTTGCGATTGCATTATGACGTATGAAATTAAATAGAATACATCAAATTACAACCAGGGATCGCTTTATTCACCAAAACAATCCTTGATTGTTTGTTAAATGTTGGGGGTCGTGGGTTCGATTCCCACACGGGACAACTATTTGTGCGACCCACAGATAGTTGTTTCGCATCTGGGTGTTTGTCCTCGTGCAATTTATGTTTGTAAAACGCCCTTACAACACAGGATAATGTTATCCTAAAGTGAGGGCAATGTTTTTATATAAGAAAAAAGAAAAAAAAAAAAGAAAAAAGAAAAATCTATAAATGTAAGTAATAGCGTTGAATATGAGTGGCCTTCTTTATTTACGTTAATAAAAAATTCATAAGTTGATGATATCTTACCGCAACAAACAGTGAAATTGGGTTTCATGAAAATAGGCAAACAAAAAACTAAAGGACTCCTTGTGATTTAAGGTGAAGCAATTATGATAAATTGGTTTCATTTACTTAATGTAATGAATTGCTTCATAAGCGATGGCCTAGGTGTGGCTTTGACGTCATTGTGTTAGGGGACTACTAAACATGAAGGTGTGCCGAATATCGATCGTTTTCTCGTTTTATTACCTGAAGAACATGGAACACACCCGCGCTGATTAGAATCTCTTTCGTGTCAAGTGTTCATTAATTAAAAATATGTAACGTTGTCTTATTGAAAATGAGGCAAATTACAAGGAATAAACTAAGACGAAAAAAAGTAATAATAATCTGATATTGTCAGATGTTCTGTACACAAAATGTAGTACACAATACAGATACTACAAGTGTTGGTTTTTTACAGTTGACACTACAGCCCAATACGATGCAGTTAGGGCGTATCTTCGAGAATTGGATATTTCTAGCGCTGTTTGGGTTGGATTAATTAGAAGTAATCCAGAAGGGGATTTTACTTGGACGTAAGTTTCTTTTCCTGCGATAATATAAAAAATCATTAATGTATATAAATTTAATCATCAATTGGACGCAACTTGGTTAACAAATTGTTTTATATTATACGACTAAGGTTTTAATGTAATGATAAATAAATATTTAACTGGTCCAATTTAATAATCTAACAAATTAATAATCTAACTGTAAAACTTTTAAAAATATGTAACATCGATTTACATATTTGGGTAAAATATATTCGTACGAACTGGGATAAATAAATTAAGTAAAAATTGATAATTATCCATCAAAAAGATATCAAGTCGGGCAACATGCATTCTCGGTGAACTTGGAAAGAAGACAAGTAATTATACGTATATTTCTTTTTCATACTTCTCTTAGCGATTACCGTGGATTGAGCGGTGATGGTTACTGGAGTTCTGCACCTGATCCACGCACCGCGCCGCTTTGTGCCGCCGCCGATCCCACCGCAGACTACCGCTGGGAGGCTCGAGCCTGCGGCGGGCCCACTGTGGCTTCGTTCATCTGCGAGTTGCCAGGTCTTGACATTTGCTTTCACATTGACATGTCAAATCATTCGTGTACAGAAGAGCAATATGCTTTTCTAATCTTACTCGGACATTCGTATCTCCGTTACGACAAAAGAAAATTAACGTTTTAAATGCAAAAGAAACAGACTTATTTATGCCTAACTAAAAGGTATATAGTAGAAGAAGAAGAAGAAGAAACGTTTAGTATGTGCTTGATAACTGCAAACACAACTCATAATAAAATATTATAAGTTGTATTTTTGTTAATTCTTTTTGTTAATGTCAATAGCTTAACATAGTAAACAAACTTACAAACACGCTTACAAAAGAAAAAAATTTACAAACTTACAAAAATAAAGAAATAAAAATCTACATTTATTATAATTATTGATCATATCAGACAATATACTGTGAGTAAGTGACTAATAAGTAATAGTAACTCACGTGAGTAAATAGTGATGTAGTAAGTGAAGTAGCCACGCCACTCACATAATAGGTAAACGTTTAATTATGTTGTTCACCACAGTATTATCTGAAGTACTCACCTGCCGAAGAGAGGAGACCTTACCATGTTATTCTTATGAATTCATTCACTATTCATGACAAATAAATGATTTTATTGACACTTTTCTCTTTTTATACAACAGTACCACAGTGGGCACTTGGCAAGGAGGGATGCATGGTTCGAGCCTTGCCTGCATTGACTATTTTGTATTTACCTGAAAGTGCAGCAGTTCAGCTCACGGCGGATTGTGGACTCGCCGGTGTGAAGCGAATCCAGTGCACTGGCAATGTGGTATGATTCTGTTATTCGTATATTCTATTATAAGTATTTATTATCTTTTGAGATTCTAAGCTCTAAATTTTCAACAGAAGCGGGAAGACCTTCTTAGAGATCTATCGTGTACTGAAGAAGTTGAGTCATCAAGTTCATTAAATAATATGTCAACAATAAATAGTAGTACAACGGCTGATGTTACAGCAATTACAGAAAATCTAGAAATAACCAATGGTATCATTGCGGAAGAAAATCTAACGATGGATCATGACAATTTCTCAGTTGCCCTAGTATCAACACCTATTCCTTCAGAGACAATAAATATCAAATCTATAATTTCTATAGCCCCACCAACCATTAATTATATAAGCGATGTTGTTGGGGATAAGAGGGTCAATTTAAAAATCATGGAAAATAACAACCTACAAAGCAATGATATTCCAAACCTAGATAATAACAATAATATTTTAACAGATTATAAAATACAAAAAATGGAAGATGAAGACAATATACAGCATAAAAAGTTACACGAAGAACTTGCAAGACTTGGCAATTTTGAGACAATATTTACTCAACCGACAGATCATTTTGTACCTCCATTAGTTATAGCGAAAGCAAGACTTAACGATGATATGACAGTACTGTCACTAGAAGAAAAACACGCGCAACATTTTGGGACACATAAAATGTTAAAACATTCGAAAGGACAAAGTGTTTTGTTGAATGCGAATGCTAAGTTTGAAATATCTACTGAACATCCAGTGGTGATTGATAATATTAGCAGTACTGAAAAAACAGAAATATTGAAGGATGAGTTTAAAAAAGACAAATTGAAGATAATTACACCGAAAAAATACATCTTTGCAGGTTCTGATTCTAAGAATTCGAATATTTTGAGGAACAAAATTAAAAAACCTAACCCAAAAATTATAAAAGATATTCCATATGAGATCAATTCAAAAGTAGTAAATAATCATTTGGACTTAACAGAAAATGCGACGATACAAACTTCTACCACACAAGGTATAGGGGAAAATCAAAATGATGCTTATATTGATTTAACAGTTTCACTACGAGATCCAAGTCGTCAAAATAATTTAACAGCAGAAGCAAATAATGCGATTAATTTAACCAATACAGAAGGATTAGATAAAATAATATTAATGAATATAACAACTAACGAGTCTATACCCGGAAACCTGACTATTAAATTTAATGAAGTAAATAATGCAGAGCAAATTATCTTCAAGAATACATCGAATAGTACTCTTATCATGGATGATACAATTTCGGGCAGCACACTTAATGAAAACAAGAATTTTGATGATTTTCTAACCATTTTGGATATAACAACTAAAATGCCAACTTTTAAAGACGATATCATCAACTCTTCAAATTCGGGTGTAAATAGACAAAGCCACGTTATTGATGTTACTCAAATAAAAAACACCAGGTTCACAACTGAGAGTATACAAAATGGAGATGTTTCTCTTTATTCAATGCCTTTGGCATTCAGTACCTACATTACTAGAGCGCCTTTAAATAAAACTGAAAATTTGGATGTACATTTGGAAACGCCGACATCAATTTTTGTGTCAAACCATTCCAATGCTAGTAATAGCTATGACCCCAGTGTCTATTCTACCCATGTTCCCAAAATTAATGACGCTTTTAATGTATCAGAAAATACTGAAGAAGTTGGAAATAATTCAGGAGATTTGGAAACTATTGATGATTTTCAATCCCCGTTATTGTCTGCTGCTAATGAGCCATTGCAAAGACCAATCAGGTCTCGAAGGCCAAAACAGTTACCAAATCGAATAAATAAATTTAATCCCTTTCGCATATTAGGTTAAGAAACATGTCAAGTTACAGGAGTATTAACTGCCAACAAAGTAATTACTGTACTGACGACTGAATAAATCCATTACATTTATATATAGTGGTAACACGTTTTGGTTATAATTATGTCCTTATAATAAAAGCAATTAACAGAAAGATTCATACTTCAAAATTGCTAGCGTTTAATAAGTTTAAATCTTTAATATGCAAGTAGTGGACAAGATATTCCCTAAATAATCTCAAAGAAATTACAATGTCAAATTATGCTAACATAATCATATTCAATAAATATTCGTTAATATATATTCATTAAATATCTATCACAATTTTAGCAATTATTAAGATTATATACTTCGTTATTGAGACAACTAGCGACAAACCATGGGATTTAATCATATGTCATTTTTGATAGAACAATTTAAATAACTGTCACAACCATATCATTATTAGATAAGCTAGATGTTGGCATTATTGTAAGGTAATATAATAATTCTCGAAATATAAGAACGCACGGTTAACATTTTATATTACAGCACTAAATAGTTTCCAAAAGAAAAGTATTTGTTTACAATCTTAAATGTTACTGTCTAATATTAATTGAATCATTAATAAGATTATTCTTATAACATTAATACCACTGCTCGACTTAAGCCGACGATCGAACTAGTAATTTTCATTTAAAAATCACACATTTTTCATGGTAATATTTAGCACAATAGTAAATTTTATGAATTAATTGTAAGTTTTTATATAAAATATATTATTAATAATAACGTGTTTTTTATTTAAAAACTTCCTATTAGTCTGTAGAGAAATTTAAACAGTGAGATGGAAATTAAAAGCAAATTACTGTCGTGTATAATTTTTAAATTTCATAAAGAGATAAAAAAAAAATCTTAAACAATGTGTTAGACTCGACACTATAAATACATGTAACATTTGTAAAATCAAATTAGACCTATTGATGAATCAATAGGTCAAATTTGAGGAAGAAAGTTCAAATGAAAGGTTACCTGGTTGACGTCATTTTTGAGCCACTGGAATGTTAAAATTTATTAAGAAAATAGACGAAAAGATTTTTTCCACATTTTCCTACTGATTTGCTCATGCAGATAGAGCATCCATCATCGTTCGTTTTATTAAAGATCTTTCCTTTACTTACTTATTTACTTACTTTTTTTTTTACTAAAGATTTAATCCCAAGAGACTGCTCTATTAGTTCTAGTTACCTATATTTTGTTTTGTTTTTTTTTACGCGAAAAGTTGTCAAACGAGCAAACGGTTCACCTGATGTTAAATGAATACCGCCGCCCATGAACATCTGCCACACTCGAGGGTTACAGATGCGTTGACAACCTTTTGAAAATTTGGCTCCGGCTACCTCACTCACCAGACGAAACGCGAAAGTATCTGTTATACTTCCACTTTACGCTGGTCTTCTGTGAGGTCGTGGTACTCACCCGGACGGGCCTGCCCATTCGTGCAACAGCCGAGGCTGCTGCGTGGCCCTACCACCGTAAGTTTGTTTGTTGCTGTAACTGTGATGCATTTAACAATCATAACTAAAGCGAAAACAAATGCCGTTATAGTGTTATATTAATGGTATCAAGAAATTTCTGCCAATATTTTTTAGCATATTTTATGCAACTTTTTTAGCAAAACTCATAATATCCAATTTATATAATCTTGGTCACTAAGTTCACCTTTGATTCACTCAAATATAAATTAATGTCAATATGAAATTATCATATTATTAAAACATAGTCATAATTTCACGTATATGTAGTACATTATACAATCTGATCTTTAATTTGATGTTTATCTTGATTTTTATCTCCTATTATCAGAAATCATGATACAAATTTATCTGTACTCACCAAAAAGTTCTAATATAAAGTTTTAATACACTTCCTTTAAAATGGCGGAATGTAACTGACTTTTTACTTCACACTAAGAGTAGAATTTTCAATAATCTTTAGTTTTCACCACTGGCTGTGAGTTTAAAATGAATAATTAAGTGTTAAATTCTTTTTTACTTCTTCTTTTTTCATGTTATAAAGCTGGCGGTTCACCTGATGTTAAGTGATAATCGCCGCCCATGGACATTTGCAATAACCGAAGGGTTGAAGATGCGTTGCCATCTTTTAATAAAGTGGGCCCCGGCTACCTTACTCACCAGACGAAACGCAAGTGTAATACTTCTACCTCACGCTGGCCTTCTATGAGGTCGTGGTACTAACTTGGACGGTTGCGTGGTCCATTAAGTTTTGTTAGAAACGACCTGTTAATAAGGCAGTTTCTGATTTTTCACAAAGTAACGAAAATAAATTATTATGTAAAAAAAAAACAACGAAGTCCTCGTAATGTAAAGAAGGGCAATAAAAAAATTACTTACATTGTGCCTATACATACATATCCTGTCGGAGTTCACTATAATGCAGATCATATTTCCACAACATTAATAGCACAGTTTCTAAGCCATATATTTCGTAAATACAAAGAGCACAAGAACCGATATCAAGTTTCACGTTGGAGAGGCACGCAATTGCCCCGGGCATTTTCACGGCGGTACAACATGGATCGAAACGGCTGGGAGAACCGCGCGCCCCAACAACATACCTGAATAGCGACATAACTTTACTGCATTTAACATGGTTTGCCATGAAAATTGCTTAGAGCTATTTAATTTTTTTTATGTGCTAAGCGAGCTAGCAGTTCACCCGAAATTAAGAGATAACCGCCGCCTACGGAAATTTTCAACACCCGTAGGGTTGCAGATGCGTTGCCACCTTAAGTGGGCTTCGGCTATCTCATTCACCAGAACCTCGATAGCCCATAGGCGACACTCCGTAATTAAGGCACGCTAGAGCACATGCGCGGCCCTACCCACTGTGGAGGGTCTCATACCCATGGGTTCTGGCTAGCCCACGGATTCTACGTTCGATGAAGCTTTAATAGGAAGGAGCTGGCTCTACCACGGTAAAGGCTAATACTATAAAGGTTTAATTATTACAAAAAATATTAACTAATGTTATAAATATAACCAACAAATAAAAAATAATCAGTACATTAAAAAAACATATATACATATTGTAGGAAAGGTTCCGGAATATCATGACGGTCATCTCACACTTTTTAGGGCTCTCGTTCGTACCAACATTTTACCAGATTTATCGCGATAAATTTTTATTCCCTTTTCTTTTTATTTAAGCTTGTTAGTCAGTAGGGGAAGGCAGGGACCATTCGTACGCGGGGCAAATACGTACATTAGTTTAAAAACACAAACGACAAGCTATCGGACGTTCCTTTTAGATGTGTGCATAAGTGGCCTAGCTATCAATACGTCTATGTAGTTTCACGTCATTCCCACCATGGAGGGCAAAGTGACAGACAGAAAATGTTTTAGCGCTCGTTAAGTAATTTTTTGATTAACGTTTACGTGCATCATTACACCAGGTATGATAAGTTTTTCTACCGTGAACTATTAAATATCTTTAATATATGTTTTTAAAAACTAATTATCTAGTTTACATATGGATATAAAAAGTTAAAAGGCAAATAGGAAATTTGCAGTTTTAATCGCAATGTATGAAACAACCCCACACGTGGGGCAGATTCGTATGATTGACTTAAGATTAAGTTTAATTAATAATTGTGCAATAAACATAAGATCTCATCCAAAGATTTTTTTTGTTAATCTCAGACTAATATACTGGCACTGTATGTACTAAGTTCACTATTTAATGGAATAGTTAAAATGAAAATAAATAAAATGTAAAAACCGTACGAAGGATCGACCTTCCAAACCGACCTTCCCTATATATGTGTATATTATAGTTGTAACAATAATATTGTTATGAAATAACCCTTTGTGTAGAGTGAAGCTCTAACAATATTAATTTTACTTATGTTTAAGGACGGGGTTAATGCGTTAATCCACATTGGTCCATAATATGCTTGATTATTATGAGGGTCGCAACGGATTTGGACAAGCCTTTTTGAAGATTCATTTCGGATTTAAGCGTGAACTTTCCATATGAAACAAATACTCAAAATTTATCAAAAATTAAAATATTGTAACAAATGTTATATTATTTGAATCTATTCGTAATTAGTACAACACTTTCGTATGTAAATGTAATACAAGTTGTCTTTATTAACTTATTGATCTTTATGTTTTCTAATGTCAATTATTCTTAATGCTGTATGTGAAGAAAATATGTTCAAAAAGACCTTCACAGCCTACAAACTGAGAAAGTACATAATTTTCACAAGATTAGACATGCAAACAAACATTATTTAATATTGTTCCTTTTATATTGATTATAGTTTTAACAGAAGATATCATCGAAAAGATCACGTAATTTTTTACTTAGAGAAAAAAGCTGCCGGCTAAATTAAAATTTTAAATATAGAGGCAATGTGTTCATTGGCTTAATGAAGCCGATCCCACTTCAAGAGCTTATAAATGTTGGTCGCTTTTAGTCGTAATGAGCACACTCTGACGAGGGTTTCGGAATTTTTTATTCCTTAATAATGCAAAGCCTTATAAAGGTGCCAGATGCTAATTTAAAAAAAAATGTTAAAAATATGTTAATACGTTTTTATAGCTGTTTATATATATATATATATATATAAACAGCTATAAAAACGTAGTGTCTGCATATGAAATTATATATATATATATATATATATATATTATATTTTTTTTTAAATTAGCATCTGGCACCTTTATAAGGCTATATATATATACATATATATATATATATATAAATAGTTTTACTTTACGTGCCACATAAGAAAAATATTCTCCTCAGAAAAAGAGTACAAAAACACGGGTTAATAATTAGTGTATTTGTACCCGAAAGCTTTTTGGTGTTGAATATGAAATATTTTGTACTTTTATACTTTACTTTATAATTTGGGTGAAGTAAATAATAGTATACTAAAAAGATTTGCAAAACTAAAAAAATTCGAGTATGTTGTACACTGACTGGAATAATTCTGCATT